GTTGGCTGAATATCGCCGACCATGGTTCCAGCATGATGGTGCACCTCCACATGTCGTTAGGTTCGTCTGTGAGCGCCTCACCGAATTATTTGATGATCGCTGGATCTGGCGGACTAGAACCACTCGGTTGGCCACCTCGCTCGCCAGATCTGACCCCGTTAGACTTCTTTCTGTGGGGGTATGTGAAAGAAAGGTTTTTTAATCGTGAGTGTGATAGTGCTGACGAAACTACAAAAGGATCGTGGATGTTTTCGACAAACTACATACGGACTGTGTCGAAGACTACACGATGATGCCCCGCCTGCATGAGGAGATGCAACACCGAGCCCAAATCTGCCTTGAAATGAATGGAGCACAATTTGAGCCGCATCTCATAAGACCACGGAGGATTTAGAGCGGTAAGCTGTTTCATAAGTATTTTTTTTAAATAACTTAGTACTGGACTAATCTGAATAGGTACATAACTGAATACATGAGAATAATAAACATACCTACACGATGAATAAAAACGCATGACTCCAATCTTGGTTACATTTCATTAATTTAAGTATTTTTTCATTAGCGGGGAATCGAACCAGTTATTTGGGTTATTTAACCTGTAAATTCGTATTTAAGTGGCTACGTGGAGACAAGTACAGTGGCAAAATAGTAGGTTAAGTAGATAAGTTAGGTATTTAGACAAGTGTTGTAAATTATTAGGTAATGTGGTATGGCCCGCTAGTTGCGGGCCGCGCGAATTTGCGTTCGCGCGTACATTGACCTTTCAGTCAGCTGATATCAATTCAGTCATTCCACTGCTGGTTTTATGTTTCAGTATTTTCATGATTTTTTTATGAAATTATCGTTTCATTTAGCTGTACTAACATGATAGCGCGTGAATAAAGCTAATAAAACGTTGTAAAAAGATGATTTTTTTTTCATCAGGATCGAATTTATGTGTTACCCATGATCAAAGGTATACTTGGTACTGTCGCCTGTCTTAGTTTTCGGGAGCGTTCCAAAAATACCCTGTATATTAGTTATAGGCGGGATGACGGCTGTTTTTCAAATATTCATAAATCAAATATTATTAATACCATATTTATAAATAAAGTTTAAAATATAGTTATAAACTTGGTAAAATACAACGATTTAGTTATGAGAATAGCGCCATCTATCATCAAATGGAAAAATTAGTATATTTTGCTTTTAGTTACTAAAAAATTAAATAATATAAATAACTTAAATTTATATGTTTAAATAATAAGACTTTTAAAATTATTTATTAAATTGTAACGTTTAGTTTTTTTTAGTATTTTTGTTATTTTATTTTAAAAGTGTAATAATTTCAATAGATAATTTACATATATATATTTCAATAGATAATTTTTGATAATAACACGCACTGGTTGTACAATCTTGTTTTCAGGTTTTGTGGTATGCCTGAGGAGAAGATGTGTCGTAATCTTCCGAACGCTGCCCAGCCGAATTGAGTCCATCGATTGACCTCTCGGTCGAAGTTGGACTTATCTCGTCGGACTATTTGCCCAGGTAAACAGAGTCGTCAACAACTTCGAACTTTGTGCTCCCAACAACTACCGGCTTAGGTGTAACATGGACATTACATATGACTTTCGATTTGTCCATGTTCATTTTCCGACCTATCCGTGCTTAGGTCCTCCAGCGGTTTTGCCATAAGGACTATATCGTCAAAAATCTAAGGTAAGTGATATACTCGCCATTGATGTTAATACCAGCCCAGAAGCTTTGAAAACATCTTCCAATGCAGCGGTAAATATTTTCTGCGATATTACGTCACCCTGTCTTATACCTCTCTGCAGTTGGATAGGTTTCGCACTCTGGTTCTGTACTCGGGTAGCCATCGTAGTCCTATTGTACAAACACTTCCGCACTTTGATATACCGACAGTCAATTTGGCACCGCTGAAGGGACTGTAGCATCGCCAAAATTTCGACGGAATCAAAGGCTTTGTCATGGTCCACGTACGCCAGGCAAAGTAGCAGATTGTTCTCCCCACAGGATTGAGTGACGGCTCTGGACCCCTTGTGTTAATAGTATAAATGATATTGAATAATATGATAAATATGAAACTTACGTGATAGAGCCTTGCAGTTATATTAGTAGTATAGTTGTAGCACGAATGGGTCAGCTCGACCGGGAAAGGACCGTGGTCTCACTGAATACCAGTGTAAAATAGCAGCTTAACGCTGTTGTGGTTGTGGTTCGTATGGTGTGTGTAGAGAACCGGAGACCCTCTTTATTGGAAACGAGGCATTCCATTTTTTTTCTGTACTATTTGTTAACGGGTATGTATGAGGTCTATGGTACTAAAGCTTTCTCTGAAACCGAATTGTTCGGGAGGCGGTGTGCGAGAAGATTTGTAATGACTCTCAGAAACAGCACTTAGACGCGGATCAAAGGGGAAATTGGTCGGCTATCACCTTTCTTACAGAACAAAACCACCGCACTTCCGCTTCACGCCTCCGGAGTAATTCCACCATAGAGAATCGCATTAGAGAGCCTCTAAAGGACTTCAAGTACTAGTTTTCCACCCGCTTTCAGAATATCCGCTGTTATTTTATCCTCACCCGGGGCCTTGCTGTATTTAAGGTAATAGGGAGCCATTCTAATCTCGCTCAGACTAACTCCCGGAATATCATAAGAATAATGTCGCATAAAACTTGCTCTTGGATCGTTACTCACACTTGCGTGTGGCTCCAACGATGATGTGTACATAGAACCTCTCAATTTCACTCAAAATCTCAGATGTCCCGGAAACGAAGCTACCACATTCGGTCTTTTGCTGCAATAGTTGGTTCTATCTGAAGACTTTGGAGCCTTAATCGCTTCTTCAGTACGAGCTGTATTGAAGTTGCGTAAGTCCCGCCGCATGCATTTAGAGATCTCTTTGTTCAGTTACCTGTATTCTATGAAATCTGCTGAAGACTGCAGCTTTATTTCCCCTCTTACAACCATAGCATTTATAGTGTAATCGGAGAGTTTTTTGATTCTTTTGCGACCGACCTTGTAGAACTTAGATCCGACCGCATGGACAGTTTCCATGAGCTTGTCATTCATATTGTTTATTGTATTGCAGTTTTCTAGGCACTGAAAATGATTTTAAATCTCGATTCGAAAGTTTTCGAGGCTTTGGACGCACGGTAAACGCACGAGGGGTCCCCGAGGGGGCGATGAATTCATTAGACCTGACCTCTCCAACTTAATGTATACGTTCAGCGTGCCTCTCACAATTCGGTGATCGCTGTCAAATTCTACACTCCCGATTACTGAGTCATAACTGAACAAGTGCCGTCTAGTCGTCATTATGGAGGTCCACTTTCTATGGGGCCGCTTCTGGAAGAAATATTTCATCATAAAGAGCTATAATATGACCTTAAGCGAGAAACATTTGGTGGTTCTGAGTGTTAGCCTCACCTACACACTCCCCATCTTTACAACGTTGTTAACGAAACTTGTGGATGATAAACCCGTAACCTCCTTGGGATAGATGGTCACCCTCCTGGTGATAGAACAAGTTGCCGGATTCGAGAATCATCGTATTCTCTTCGGACCTCAGATAATCCTATAATTTTTCAGCGCAGCTTGCCTATCCTTTCTTCCATCTCCAGGATCTTCTCGTCAGTCCTCACCGTGCGTGCATTATATGTTGCCAGGTCGAGTCGTCTTAGGTGGCAACCGAACCTTCACCGGAGATTTTTGCCCTGCCCCGCCGTTACCATGGTCGCCACCGTAACCAGGAATAGTGAAGCTACAGAGGACTGGGGGCCATCTCTTTGTGGCTTTGCAACGCTTGACGCGCGGCTTGGCAACCGCAGTTTTTTTATTTGTTATTTTGCTTTTATCAGAAAAATGTCTAAGTTTCCTTCCGTCGCCTTTTATGACATCCACGGGAAGATATGGTGTAGTGGATTATCTTAACCGGTACTACACGCCACTACCCTAATAATGTATTTTAATATAATTGTTCACATGTACTATATTTAGTTATTCATGTATGTTTTATGAAAGTACGCTTCCGTGCTTTAAATTGCACTTGTAACCGATTTCAAGTTTCTTAATTCGATTGTAATTTTTTTATGTTTGTTACGCCTTCGCTAATTGGAAATCATCTTTCAAAGAATGGTCTCTTTTCAATTGAAAAAAATCCCTTAAAGGTGGGATTTTTAGAGTATGAAGTATTTGTTTTTAAGTATTTGGACATTATTCTAGTTAGATATTAGGATATAGGGTGACAAACGAGCACACAGCCCACTTGATGGTAAGTGGTTGCTGTGACTCATAGACATCTACATTTATCCTCAATTAAGAATCAAAATGCAGATGCGTCGTCACTCGTGAGGACTCAGATAGAATGCCTCTTTTCCAGTAAAATGGGTCTCAAGTTCTCTACACTCACCATACGAAACACAGCAGTGTCAAGCTGCTATTTTACGCTGGTATTCTGTGATGCCCGGGCTACACTAACGAGAAATGCCGTTAATGATCGCGTTAATGGGCGTTGAATGTAGGAGTGGTCACCACTTAACGCGACAGTTTTTCAACGGCATGAACAATGGCGTTTGCCATCGTGCGATAACTCGAGTGGCGGTACATCAAAGAGATAAACGCACGAATTAACGAGTTGAAGCGGCCACACTACGTTTGTTTGTCTCAATGCGCACGGTGAGCGCAACGGGATCGCACGTATGGCTATGGAGTAAAACAATGAAAAAATTCTTACGTTTCTGGAGATTCTGCAAACAGAGCCATGTTTGTGGGATCCGAGACTCAAAACTTTTAAAAATCGTACATCGCAAAATGATGCTTGGCGACGAATTGTACAACTATTACCTTTTCAAACAACTGTTGAAGAAATTAAAAAGAAGAAGGAAAGACTAATGGGTTATAATAGAACTCATTTGAACAAATATAAAAAGTCTTTGAAGTATGGAGCTGGCAAAAATGACGTGTATGTAACTCATTGGTTCGCATTCAAAACGATGGATAGTTTCCTACGAGGGGTATATGAAAGTAATCACACATTAAATACAGTCGTAAGTAATAATTAATAGAGATTATATCAATCTAGTCAGTACTTAGTTTGGTCATTGAGTCGAGCCACAAGAAAATGGCGGCAAATTTGAAAATCGTTCAGAAAAAGTCACTAAAATTACGGTGTTTAAATAAGACAAATTCTTTTTGTATGGAGAATGGGCCCGCCACAAATTTTAACCACACTTAATGAATGCATGTTGATTCATTATAATCTATAGATTACAATTGTAATATTAGTTATACGGAATCTAATTGGAATATAGTGAAATTAGCAAATTAAATATGAATCTTACTATAACCTAAAAACAAATTAAAAGCGATTGTCTATTAGTTTTATATTAAGATCGATTTTACTTTAAGATCGATGGAAAATCCATAATTTAGTTTCGGTTAAATATAGTGTCTGTCTGTGCACAAATGTGGTATGGATACTATTTTTTACATGTATTGATTGATTGTGACCAAATAGCATTAAAGTAATATGACTTCTCTGTGACGCAGAGGCTTAGCAAGGAGTTGCTGCGCTACTGACCTGCAAATAATTGTTCCGCGTCTGGATGTTTGTCCTTGTGCAATTTATGTTTGTAAACTGCCTTCACGATACAGGAGAAATTCCTAGTGTGGGGGTAACGTTTTTCTAAAAAAGATTAAAAGAAAGAAAAGCTTAAAGATTAAAGCCAAGATAACTCAGGGATAATATCTCTATTTATAATATTCCGGACATACGCTATATAGTAAGAAAGATGTTTTGAACTGGTTTTGTAAGGATAAAAACATAAATTAAAATGTATTTATTATAGTAAATTATCATTTCCAAAGTAGTCTATTAATATAGAACAGACAGAGAGACAGGCACAACTTTGTTTTAATAATAATATAATATATAATAATATATTTTGGTTAGTTATTAAAGGCACAGTGTGTAGTTTGTTTGTTTGAAAATATATTAACTGATTAGTTATCATACCCCAAACACCATTAAATCCAAAATGACTAGGTAATAACATTTTGATCTGTTATTACACACTGATAAATAGTGAGGAAGTAAGATGTTTTAAACTGTTTTTGTAAGGATAACAAAAACACTTGTATAATTATTGTTATTGTCAATCATAATTTGAAAAGAGTTTCTCTAAAAAACTTGTTGATAACATGTCCATTTATGATATTGGTAGGAATTTTCAATGATAAGAGATATAGGAGTGTTGTCTTCAATATCCATACTTTTTTTTTTGTCTCTGCCTATGGGCAACTCTGCAATTTTCAGCCTGCATACATATTTGTTCTCACCTGAAAAAAGTTAGACTGCCAATGCTAAATATTAATTCTTATCAATATATTGTTTTTTCTATATTCTTATGAAACTTATCTTATTATACTTATGAAACTGTATAACATTTGCTTCTGGTACAAGTAATTTTTCTATTTTTTCTTTACACATCTCTATCTATCTACAATGGCTGGCATTAATGCAGGATCCATTTCTGGACTACCAAATAAGTCATTTGGTATTGTCAAATTATATGGAGCAACTTACTGAATACATTAAGTATTTGTACCTAAATGCAGTTAAATGAATTGCTCTTCAAAGCCGATGAAACTACATCAAATAGAGATTCTTTCTTATTTTAATATACACGAAAACTTGTTTTGTATATTTATTCTATCTAATATTTAATTTGGAATTTACTAATAACATTAAAGTTTAATACTTTGTCAGTTGTAACATACTAAGGTTCTCAGATTGTTTGTCATTTGTTTTAGGTAATTTAATACATTAATAACATAAAACTTTAATACTTTGTCACTTTTAACATACTAAGTAGTGTTGCCCAAATGCAAGAACAAGACAAGACTTAGCCAATCTTGGTCTTGGTCTTGCCTCAATACACCTGGTCTTGGTCTTGGTATTGCGCTCCCAGTCTTAGTCTTGGTCTTGGTCTTGCATTATCTTATTAGCCTATTGTTATTTATTAAACGTTACTTTAGATCTTAGAACAACTTAACAGTGTAGGTAAATTTTGAGCTTGAATTAACATAGCCATAGTAAAGACCAACCAAATTAATAAATGTCTACACATTTAAATTTGAAAAATCAGCTGATACCGGGTGGGGTTTGAACCCACGAACTAATGTCCGTGCCGATGTCCTAACCAATCTACCGAGTCCCAAGGCCACGGGAGTCAGTCTGTTTCTTAATAAACATTTAGATTTAATAAGCTTACATGTGCTAGAACATGGTTAAAACATATTAAAAAAAACAAATTAATAACACTTGACTGTATTTTAAAGATATTTGCACTGAACTTATCCAACATGTTTATCTATTAGGTAATAATAATAATAATGATAGTAAGTAATTAATATAAATACATATAGTTATAATAATAATAATATTATAATAATTACTTACTAGAATAAATTATTATGATATATACCTATCCTTACCATTAACTAATTACTATATTTCTTGGGAGACCACAGTTCCTTTGACAGGTCAGTATCCGACCTTTGATGATGCCGACAACAAGATGTCGCGCACTATCAAATTGCCGATGGTGAAAACTAGGGTTGCAATCTTTTTTCTTTTAAAGGATATTTCCATTCGCTTTGTATGTTTATGGTAGTGTTCGTAATGCGCATTAGTCCAATATTCCATTTTTTTTAATACATATTTTGCATCTCATAGAGTCCCTAAGCGTATACCCGAACTCCTATACTCCCTGAAACGACACTCAGTGCTAATGCAAGACGCAAGAGTCTCACAGGCTTAGTTTTGTTCTTGCTTAAATCTTGCATGGTCAGTCTTGGTCTTGGTCTTGCTAAAATTAGGTGGTCTTGATCTTGGTATTGCAAAAATGCAAGAACAAGACCAAGACTGCAAGACCAAGACTGATTTTGGGCAACACTAATACTAAGGTTCTTAGACATGTGTTTGCCATTGTTTTAGGTAATTTAATACACTAATAACATAAAACTTTAATATTTTGTCACTTTTAACAGAATAATAAGATTCTCAGACTTGTGTATTATTTGTTTTAGGTAATTAATTCAACACAAATTATAGATTTTGTGAAATTCTAGGTGGAAAATTAAACTCTTGTATTACATACATATACTCTTAACTCTTATATTAATTAACAAAACTCATCAATTTTCATTTTCGACTTCAGACTTTATTCTTACACTAGTGATGTGACTCGAACTCTGTTTTCATTCGAGTGAATCGAGTGAATTTGCTTAACTCTGTACTCGAGTGAAAATAAATTTTACTCGAGCTCGCTTGCACTCGATTTATCGAGAGTTAGAGTGAAATTAGTTTATGAAGATTGTCTATTGATTGGCAAACCAAAAATATATAAAATATAAAAAAATACCTATTAAGTTCAGAAATAATATTTGTGTTGGATGGAAGAACAAATATAAAAATAATTTGTGAGAAATTGACACACCTTCGTTCCATTAATTCGAGTTGCGTAACTCGAGTTCAATTCTAGTTACGTGAATTTCAACTCGTCGAGTCGAGTTTCTTCCGAGTTGGCCCATCTCTACTACAATTATTTTTTTAATATTACGTATTTAATATTATTTTTTTTAATATTTTCAGATAAACGAAGACAGTGAGTTCCAAGAAAGAAATGAGGGAAAAAATGACGAAAATGAGAACAGCCCTCATTTGTCTTTAGAAATAGAAGAGAATTCGCAAAACATACAAGGAGGAAATAGATCTCGTCCAAGTGAAAATAAATCTTCTCAAGATTGTGGTAAAAAAAGACAACTAAGTGACTATTTGCCTCCAGAAATCAGAGCAGCATGACGTCAAATAGACGAAGCATTTGAATATATAAAAGAGAAGAAAGATGATGAACATAAGATGTTCGGAAAATTGATCGCAAGTAAACTAAAAAAAATTAAAAATCCAAAAACGCGTGATATTTTAATGAATGATATTCACATTTTAGTATTTCGCACATGTATGGCAGGTCGACTTGAACAACAGTCTGTAGTACCTCAATTTTCCACATGCCAGACACCACACCATCAAGTATTTAGTCTATCACCAAATCCGTCCACACACCAGTCACCTCCAGGTCAATCCACATCTCAGTCTTCACACAATCAAGTATTCAGTCCATCACCGAGTCCGTCTACACACCAGTCAACTCCAGGCCAATTCAAATCCCATTCTTCACACCATCAAGTATTCAGTCAATCACCAAATCCATCCACACACCAGTCACCTCCAGGCCAATCCACATCCCAGTCTCCACACCATAAAATATACAGTCCACCACTAAATCCGTTCAGTCACCAGTCACCTCCAGGCCACTCAACATCCCAGTCTCCACACCATCAAGTATTCAGCCCTCACACTAGTCACCTCCAGGCCAGTCCACATCCTATTCTCCACACTATCAAGTATTCAGTACATCACCAAAACAGTCCACACACCAGTCACCTCCAGGCCAATCCACATCCCAGTCTCCACATCATCAAGTATTCAGTCCATCACCAAATCCGTCCACATACCAGTCACTTTCACACCACGAAATAAACAGTCCATCATCACCTCTAGATTACTACCCAGTTCATTCTTCCCAAGAAAATTTCCTAGAATTACCACCAGCACGTGCCTCACAGATAGTAGTAACAGATACCGGTGAAATAATTATAATTAAAGATTGAAAAATTATTTTCTTTAATACTTACTTACTTACTTATCTTCACGCACAATCCCTGACGGGGTAGCCAGAGAGAACAGATCGCCAAGTGTCACGATCCTTACAAACCTTTTCTTTAATACCTTCTAAAATAAATAAATGAAAGACAAATACAGAGTATGTTGTTTTATTTTCCAAACTACAAAAATGTTGTTTCAGTTTAATTGAATAGTTAAGTACTTACATTTATGTCAGACAACACGCTAGCGCCGCCAATAGAAATAAATTGTTTTAGTAATATTTAGGACATCCATCGATTTGTTGATTATTTGACAGGCAGTTAACAGTAATTAAACTCTTACTGTTTGTTAAATAATCAACAAATCGATTGATGTCCTAAATATTGCTAAAAACCATTTATTTCTATTGGCGGCGCTAGCGTGCCGTCTGAACGTCCTACCATTACGACTAATTCATGTCCCTGAAATGTTCTGCGAATTTATTCCGAACCTCGATTGCTGTTAAAGCTGAACATCGTGCAATATTCCTCATTGACCTGAAAGCGCCTTCGCCTTCTCCAATGTCTTGCCTCCAAGTTACCGAGTTTATTATTTCTCCGTTGACAACTGTGTCAATGTAGCCCGATGGGGTGTAAATAGACCGAGAGTTACAACTTTTTCTTAAGAAATTGTGCAGTAAAGAACATGCCATTACAACTTTTGAAGCTTTGTTTGGTTGTAGAGTTATAGGTTTTCTAAGTACTCGAAACCGGGCTGACATAACACCAAATGTATTCTCCACAACAATACGAACAGAAGAAAGCTTACGATTAAAATTTCGTCGCGTACTTCCTTCGGAGTGTTCGCCGGGAAAAGGTTTCATTATGTTGCGATGCAATGGAAATCCATTGTCAGCAACAAAAACGTAGGGCACATTTACATCGCCATTAGAAAGTGGTTTAGGTTGTGGTAACTGCAAGGAATTTCTCTGAAGTTTTTCAAATAAAACACTATCTCTGAACACTGTACCATCGCTGATTTTACCCTTGTTTCCGATATGGCAAAACATAACACAAAAATTGCGATCCACCAAGGCCATCAAAACAACACTGAATGAACGCTTATAATTAAAATATTCAGACCCACTGTGAATCGGTGACACAATGGCAACATGTTTAGTATCGATTGCTCCCAAGCAATATGGAAATATATCTTTAAACTCAGATTCTTTTTGTAGCCATTCGTTTTCATTCTCAGGTAAGTTGATCATATCCTTCAATACAGATATGAGAGCAGCACAACATTCCTTTACAATATTGAAAATTACTTGGTGAGACATATTGAACAAATAGTGTAAGCTTCTGTAGCTATCTCCTGTAGCTAAATATCGTAAAGTAACTGCTAGTTGAATTTTTTTGAATTTTTTTTTGACATTCGAAGGAATCCCAGAAACTGATTGCTTGGTTCAGCTAGTAGGTCGGAGAATATTTCCTCCATTGTGTTCCTGCAAAATATTAAAAAAAAATACTTTAAAGTACACTTTAATTGACGGTATGAAAATAAATAAAAATAAGCAGGAGAAAAAAACACTTTGCAGGTGGAAATACATATTGTACAGTGGTACGGAACCCTGGGTGCGTGTATCTAATTTGCACTTGACCAGTAATTTATGCTTGGCTTATTAGTTATTATTTTATTAAAGTATATCAATGTTTGGCTTATTATTTAGCTTACAACATCGGAAGTCTTTTTAGTGCAATTTGGGCGCGGGAAAATAAAACAACATTTAAATTAATAAACATAAATAGACTTACAGTGTACGTTTTCAATGCATTTGTAGCATCCACCATGTTCTTTTTCTTTGTATTCTTTTTTTCTTCGTTTGTCAATGATAAAATATATTCATATAATAAAAATTTACACTCATCAAATATAGAGTAGCAGCGTCAACGTCCATCTTGCTTGAAATTCAAGAAACATTAACGCCAACTTTAACGCCGTTCAACGGCATTGAAATTGAAATGATGACGATGAGATAAACGTAGTGTGGCCGCTTCAACGCGTTAATTCGTGCGTTAATCTCTTTGATGTACCGCCACTCGAGTTATCGCACGACGGGAAACGCCAATGTTCATGCCGTTGAAAAATTGTCGCGTTAAGTGGTGGCCACACCTACATTCAACACCCATCAACGCGATAATTAACGGCATTTCTCGTTAGTGTAGCCCGGGCACAAGTGTGGCCACTCAGTTTATCGCGTTAAAATTAAGGCAATAATTGTTGCGTTTATGGGCATTGACGTTTCTCGTTACTGTGGCCCCAGCAGAGGGTGTTCCTTCCCCGGTCGACCGAACCATTCGTGCTATACTATACTACTAATATAACTGCAGCATGACTCTACCACGTACAGCTGGGCTGTAGTGCGCTACAAACATATTATATTATTAAAAAAAAAAAACTTGCGTAATCGGGTAAAACCTAATTGTTCTTATAACAGGGGTTGAGCCTTACATTGAATTACAATTTATTCACTTGAATTACCCGCGTTTAATTTCCCACCGGAACGTAACGATTTTTTACCCCCATGACAGAATTAAAATAAATAATTACCTTCACATTAATAAAAAAAAGGCAAACATTGCAATATATGCGCCAGTTGGTGCATATATTGCAATGTTTGCATTCATTGAAAAATCGTTATTAAACCATAGATGGAGAAAGACTGAAAACAACATATCTATTTATAAAATAAAATAAATATAGTAAATATTCGTATTTGTATGTAACTTCACTAAAATTCAGTTTTATGGGTTTTTGATTTAAAGCATACCCAATTTTTGTACGCTTTATCTGAAAAGTATACACGGCTATCTTTTTTGCTATAAATAATCTTAAATGCTTTTCCATATTAATCATCATATTAAGGGTATGAATTTAAATTATTTCTTATAAATTGTATAATTGTATGTAATATATTTCCTGCATTGAAAACATGTGCATAAATTAATAGGGAGTACATAAATCTCTCAACACAAAACATTTGATTCTAAGAGAGTTCAAGAGTTTCTAGTACTCCTTCATAAATAATTCAATTTCAACGTCAATGTAGAACCTTCTCAAAGAAGATTATAAAACAGTAATTGTCCATTAAGGGTGTGCATTTTGAACGATAATTTAACATATTTCTGGCGAAGACATTAAAATATCGTGACGCTCATTTTTGATAATGAAATTATTACAACTCAGCGAGTGAGAAAGCTAGTTGTCACAGATACCTAAAGAAAAATAGGCAAGAGTAGATGTTTACTCAAATAAAGACTATTTAATAAAAGAAATTAATTTTTTTTATTAAATAGTGTTAGTATTAGTTTATTAAATTAATTTTTAAATGTTTCTATTTTTATTTTTCTAATGATAAAATAGAAATAATAATAAGATTTGTTTTTATTAAACTAAGGTTTAGAGTTATCAACTCTCTGTTCGTCATCCAATATCATCAGTCCAAAACAATAATATTATATATTGTTGGGAATGAGGGTAAAAAAAATAAAAGTAAATACGAACAAATGAAGGTAGAATGGTAATCTTCCACTTGTTTCAGCAGTATAAAGTATCGCACAGGCGAGTAAGAGGCATCACACAGTCTGTAATTCTAAGAGTCTCATATCGTTACTATGCCCGTTGGGCTAAAAAATTACTTCTACACTGAGATTCTGCCCAAATAAGACAAGTGATGTGGTTCTATTCGTGTAATAGTTCTTCTAGTGTAAGCAAGGAAGATCGTGTTGCTGACAGGCTGCCCTGTGTAACATCGGGAGGAGTGGTGTAGCTGTTGCTTTGCATACTTTGGTGTTATCATGTAATTATGTCCTTCACGTTACAGCAACGTGGGATTGTGTCTGGTACATATTACGGTTGGTCGAAATGTATTTGCTCTATACTGAATGTGTGGTGCTGTACGCTGTCTTATTCCTGATAATGACTAATTGCGTAAGCATGAGAGCAAGTTGAACATCCGCTCTCACACTTTTATTATTTTTAACAATTAACCTTCAGAGTAAATTCTAATACGAGTAACATTCTTTTATTTAAATAATTTTGAGAATGATTTCTAAAATCAGAAGTAGGATAGTTTCTAAAATCAGAAGTGGGATAGTTTCTAAAAATATTATATAAAGACACGGATTTATACTTCGTTTTAATTCGGTATACTTAATATAATTTCTGTTACATTTATGTAATATAGGTTTTTGTATAGAAGAGGTCCTATTTATAGGTATAAATGTCCAAAGATGACTTAAAAGTCTTCTTAATACGTATTAGACCGACTGAAATAGAACAGATGTGACTTTGTAGAAATCCTCCACCGTTTATATGAAGCAATACTTTTAAGACACACACATTTGAAGTGCAGTGTGGTTTATTACTCATGACTTTTAGTGGCTTTGTTGACACTCACTAACGCAACTTGTAAACATAATGCAGGTATATAATAGGTCTATTTCATTTTCAGTCATTATTCATTCATTTCATTTCTTTAATGTTCTCCTAAAGGATTTAGGAGTAAGAAGTAAAATATTATTATTACACCAAAATATTACAAAGTTATTATTATACCAAAAGATTACTCTATGAGTTATCTCTTGTTAAAATGCCGCTCGGAAGTTACCGTTAGACCGCTACAGCATATTGAAGTCCACTGGTGAACATAAGGCTCCCCATAGATGGCCTCCTAGGGGAGGTATATGCCATAGCTACCACGCCTGATCTGCGGGTAGTCAACTGCAGTATTTTATTTTTATTCGTTATTAGGGAGACGTTGTTCCCCGCTCTCGCCTATTATGACAACCACGGAATATTATGGGGTAGTGATTATTCTAACGCCACCATTACATCTCTGAAGTTAAGTTTAGTTTATTACAAAATATACGCGATCTATGAAATAAATTGAAAATATCTGTACCTGTAACTCTTTTTATAAATGAATGCAATCAAGCCAGCTGAGGGACGATAAATTTATTGTGATCGAAGTTTTAAAGTGTTAATTAAACCCGCATACATAATTAGAACTAAAACACAGATTAACAACGTGTTTACACGCCAAAAATTGACTTTTATTTTATCTCATAGAACAGTTACAACGGATACCAGTAGAATGTCGGGTGAACCTACGCAATCAATAGAACCATGAATTAATCTGCAACAATACATTAATGTAGTGTTAAAAAAATTGCTATTAATAAAAATTAAGAATAATCCGCTTTTAAAAATCAAAATAAATCGCATTATTTCTTAATTATAAGAGCAAAAGCAAGAGCATCAGTTAAATTCTATTTACATTTGAAATATTAAATTTGGCTTTAACATGTTGGTCATATACGTTCACAAAAAGGCTTCATATTATTCCCCTGCTATTATAAAACAAGACTAGACTGAGTTTCCGCATGAAGTTTGTTCAAACCGAGCTTGTCTGTTTTGTATGAAATTCTGTGTAATAGAAATATAAAATTTTATTCAGCAAATTTTTCATATTTGTACAAAATTTAAATAAAGTTGCAAGTAAGCTTACCACGAAATAAAGAAGATAGTAACAGTAACAGTACATTCGTAAAGTATAGATAAACAAAATTAAAAAAAAACTTGACGGCTCCGTGGTGCAGTGGCTTAGCAATAAGTTGCAGCGCCAAGGGCCGCGGGTTCGAATCCCGCACGGAACAAGTATTTGTATCGCCTATAAATAATTATTCCGGGTCTGGGTGTTTATCATTGTGAAATGTATGTATGTTAACTGCCCCCACGATACAGAAGAAAATTCTAGTGTGGAGGTAACGCTTTAAAAAAAATTCACTATAATATGACCTACTGCTTAGCAAAGGCCTCCTCCATTTTCTAGAGGGTTTTAAGGTAAGGAAGTATGCACTGTGCTATCTCAATGCGTGCTGTCGGACTTCCATTCGGACCATTTAATTAGTTAAGTCCTGAAATCAACTAGACTAAAATATCCATTTGAAGAAATATTTGATTACGATTTCATTATAAAGACAAAAAAAGAATCGTATATTTTTAAAAGTCGCAATGATTATTGTACGATATTATTTT